ATACTTCCATTTCAATTACTTTGAATTTATAACTTCCTGCTAAATAGTCTTTACATTATTAATCTTAATACTTAAAACCAATAGCAGGTAAGTAAGTGCCACCTATATCACAAATACTATGATTATTAGTATTGCAATCATCATTTATACGAATATCAGCACCATTTCCAAATACCATTAAATAGTCTTTTTCATGTTTAACTGCATAATCGAAGTATTGATATTATTAATGCAGAGTGTCTTTACTTAAACTAAATATGAATGCATCTTTATCTGCCAAGATTTATTTATTGCTAGGGGATTCCCACGAGAGAGAGGTGTAGCCTCCGAATACCTCTCCATGCTCACTTAGAATAAATGTAATAGTTGGTCCTTTGTTATCACATTTCTCATGAAAGCTGGTGGCTTTAAATCCGTCTCTCGTTCCCTTAAATAGAATTTTTGAGGGTCCATTGAATCTTAACAAACTTTTTACGCTAACAGGCTTATTTTTATCTTATATTTAGAGATCTACTAGTCTTCTGAATTGATGGTATTTAACTCTATCATTTTCTGGTATTTTATCAATTGTATCAGCTTCTAACTTGGCTTTTTACACGTATTCATCTTCTATTTGTTTATTCATTTGTTTAAAAGTATCTCTAGAGTAAAGGTAAAGTAAAAAATTTTACGAGAAGTTTAAAATATAGTTATATATGTTAGCACTCTAATCCTTAAGATTTTGCTTAATCTAATCATCGACTGCAGAGTACTATAAAATACTACAATTTTTCTGAATCATATTTTGAATCTCTGAAACCAAGAAATTTCTCTCCAAATTGATAAATTAATTCATTTAATCCATCAATTTTTATATCTAGTCCATCTATTCTTATAGAATAGGTATCATTTATTTAAACGATTCATTCAAGAATTTTGTTTCAAATGAAAAATGAGATGTTTAATCTGTGAAAAAATGCTGATGTGGATCAATCTACAAGCATTTACTACAGACCATTGTATTTTAATGCTTGCAGTAAATTTCTGATTTTTTCGATGGGTGTTTATCACATTTGATCAGGTAGAATTGATATTTTTCAAGCATTCTTATAAAACCCTTGTGTTACATTACTTGATCAACTGTACAAAGATGTGCTTCATTAAAGGGGCATTAAATTTGCTCGTTTTGTATTTAATCTTTTTAATCATTGCAGCATTACTGACAAAGATCATCACCACAAGGAAGTAAAATCGGCTTTCTTTCATTAAGATTATAGAACTTATTGCAGCTAATGCATTTTAACTCTTCTTTGAAATTCTATTGCATCATTAATCGGAATGTCTAAACCTTAGTGTTGTCTAATTAGTTAAGTTTAATAATTAAATTATAGAGTAATAATAAAGATTTTGAAATACGTCATCTTTTATAATTCTATTTTTGACCAATTCATTTTACATGTCTCGATACTCATAATTTATGAAAGGGGTTTTGGGGTTTTGGGG